TGCTTTTAGAAATAATACAATAACATTGTCTAAAATGTCCTTCTTCTTTAAAAATAAACACATTTTTACTCGACAACGGGTGGTCTTGGACAATTTCGACACTATAATAAAACACTACTAATAGTTGAAAATACTTTAAATCTCAATCGACACTGTTTATATCATCTAGGAAACAGACTTCTTCGACAATTTTTTGCTAGGGCCCACCAGTGCTGAATAAGATACAGCATCTTAGCAGATAGACAGAGATGCTCGATAAGACCCCCCCCCCCCTTTCCCGTGCCCAGTCCTATCAAATTGACATCATCTGATGAGTATAATGAGTGCACGTGATGTGATAGCCTTAAGTCAACACTAGGTTATGATAAGGTTAGTTTTGTAGATTTCGGTAGACTATATAATAATAAATAAATTAATAAATTACGCTTTTATTTGTCGCAGAAAGTCACTTTGGTTTACAATGGCAAACATAAATAGATATTCATAAATGTATAATTAAAAATACGTACATACATAAATACATGCACAAATACATACATAAATACATACACAATATTACACAAATACAGAACAGTTTACAATCATGCCATTGTCGGTCGCCACTGTGCAGCGCCCTGTATTTTGAGCTAGGGTTGTGGTGTCTTGCTCAAGGACACACCCCAGTGACCACCCATCTGATCCCTGTGTCACCGATACTTGCTTGACATTACTTGAGTTTAAACTCACTACTTACTTAACCATAGGAGCCCCTATAAGATGGTCGATGAGATAACTTCCGCACAAAATAAGTCAAACTAAAGTAAAGCCTGAAAACGAAGATTGGGTTGAACTCTCACTCCCCACAACAGACTTCAGAGAACACACATGTGCTGTCGTCAGTCAGTCAGTCAGTCAATCCGTCAGTCAGTCAGTCAGTCAGTCAGTCAGTCAGTCAGTCAGTCAGTTGGTCGGTCGGTCAGTCAATCAGTCAATCAGTCAGTCAGTCAGTCAGTCAGTCAGTTTACAACGTGTGCTAGTTCAGCTGATGCATTATTTATCTGATTCCATAGCGACCCGAACGTCAAGCATTGCTAAAAAAGAAGCATTAGTGCACACCACTGCTTGTCAATCTTTTTATAGCCACGCCCACTTTGGCCGTATTTGAAAAGTAAAATTTTCGTACCGCCCACCTGCATGTATTTCAAAGTGGGGCATTAGATAATACTTGTCACTATCCGGGTGATCCCCACCGATCACCAAAATTATCAAATCACCCTGCGCTGTTGTACACTACCGCATGCCCTACACACGATGATATCTCAGAGTTAATTTATTACAACATATCTCTGTCTGTCTGTCTGTCTGTCTGTCTGTCTGTCTGTCTGTCTGTCTGTCTGTCTGTCTGTCTGTCT